AACCCAGTCCCTGGCAATCACTGATCTGATTTCTGTCTGTACTTTTGCCTTTTCCAGAATGTCACGCAAATAGAATCATGAACCGTGTAACCTTCTGAGGCTGGCTTCTCTCACTTAACATAATGCTTTTGAAATTCATCTCTGTGGTGCTGAGTCAGATTCCATTGTATGGATGTACCACAATTTGCTTATCTATTTACATTTTAGTCATTTTGGGGATTAGGTTACTATGAGTAAAGCTGCTATAAACATTCACATATAGGTTTTTGCAGGGACATATGTCTCCATTTCTCTGGGGTAAGTACCTAGGAGTGGGGTCACTGGGTCATGTGGTAACTGTAAGACAAACTCTTCTCCACAGCAGTTGTACCATTTTCATTCTCACTGGCAATGTGTGAGTTTCACCTGCTCCGTGTACTCACCAGCGTTGGGTATTTTCAGATTTTTTCACATGAGCCATTTAATAAGGACATAGTGGTTGCTAATTGTGGCTTTAATTTTCATGTCCCTAATGAGCATCTTTTCATGTGGTTGTCATCTATATATCTTCTTTTGTGAAGTATTTGTTCATATCTTTTGCCCTTTTTAAAATTGGCTTGTTTTCTTCTTACTGAGATTTGAGAGTTCTCTATATATTCTGGTTAACAATCTTTTATCAAATAGATGTTTTGCAAATGTTTTCTCCCAGTCTGTGTCTTATTCTTTCATTTTTTATTGTCTTTTGAAGAGCAGAAGTTTTTCATTTGGGTGAGTCTAGTTTATTAATTTTTTTATGCCTTGTCTCATTGGGGTACTATCCAAGAAATCTTTGCCTAACCCAAAGTCACAAAGATTTTCTTCTAGAAGTTTTATAGTTTTAGGTTTTACATTTAGGTCTATGATCCATTTTGAGTTAATTTTTCATATATGGTAGAGAGATGTGTCAAAGTTGTGTTTTTGTTTTTTTGTTATTCAATATAGTTGTCCAGTGATCTGCATTTTGAAAAAGCCAGGGTGGAGGGCCATGTGCAAAGCAGATCATACACGGTGGAATGGTGGGTGCTGCCAGAGGAGGTTAAGAGGAGAGCTGTTCACCTAGTGGAGATGTGGGGACAGCTTTATAGAGACAGTGACTCACAGCCTGGGCCATGAAGGTAGACAGCAGAGAAAGTGGAGAAGGTAGACAGGTGGTATAGGGAGACCAAAGGCAGGGCGTGCAACAGCATGAGGGTGACTCAGTGGTGTCTGTAGAACTAGAGCCTGGAGTGCATGGAGGGGCAGGGTTAGAGAAGAGAGTGGAAAGGCAAGGAGGTTTGGGCAGGGAGTAGTGCCTCAGGAAGCTCAGCCTGAAGACCAAAATGGAAGGTGGGCAGAAGGCAGGAGCCGAGTGAGGATGCATGGTGTAGAGGGTGCGGGGACAAGGCCTGAGCTCCAGGAGGGGTTCAAGAGCACAGAGTCAAGATATTTGTAGGACAGAGGAGTCAGGGCTGCCTCCCAGGTCTTGAGCCCAGGCGGTTGGGTGGCAGAGAGGAGCTCACTGCAGGGTTGTGGGGCAGAGGAATTCTATGTCATTCCGGTACCTGTGGAATGTCCAGGAGGAGATGGCCAGGAGGCGGCTGGGCACACATGGGGCTGTAGCTCAGTAGTGTTAGTTCACACACCTGACTGCAAATGCTCTGCCACACTCATGAAGTTCCTCAGCCCCAGAGGTGCCAGTCCCTGCTGCCTCCTGTCACAGAAGGGCGTGTGGATTTGTGATGGTGGATACCATGGCCCTGCAACTAGAAAACAGGGGCTTAGTGGACTGAGCTCTGTGAATCAGTAGGAATGGGAGAACACCAGAGAGCACACTAAGCTGGGGTCTGGACACCTGCCTTCCAGCCAACCTCTGCTCCTGACTGTGTAAACTCTCTGTGCTGCTCTCCCTGTTAAATGACCAGCCAGGAGCATGATGTCATGGTGGGGGAGGAAGGCAGGTGCTCTGCTGCTTTTGCAAGCACAGAAATAGGAGTTTGGGCACCTGCCCAGGGCCCCAGGAATGCCCTATGGCTTCTGACTGCCTCCCCCACTGCAGTGCTCTGAGCCCTTCAGCACTAAAGTGTGGAGGCGATATTGGGTCTGCAGCTGCAGAAGTGTCAGGAAAGACAGAGCAGACTCTCTGACACTGGAGCCTATGCTTTTCATGGAGCTGAGCTGCTTTACAGAGCCTGGGCCTGAAATCCAATGGGATTTATTGGTCTGTGGGGGGGGGGGGGGGGGGGG